ATTGCCTTGGAGCGCTTTTAGGAATTATGGCAAGACCTCAGGCTGAAAACTTACAGAGAAATAAAGGAATGTGGAATTATCACCAGGCTTATCACTATGTGACCATCAGCACTTCGCAGTGTTCGGAAACTTTACAACTTACCAAGGAATTTTAGGTGTCTTGGTTCATTTTGATTTCCACAATATGCTGAATGATGAATACTGTTAGTTCCATTTTATAGATGGGAAAATGTGATGTCCAGTAGAAATATACTGCAAGCCACATATGTAATCTGAAAATTTTCAGGAGCCACATCAGAAAAGGAAAAAGAAACAGCTAAAATCAATTCTAATAATATATTTTATTTAATCCAGTATATATAAAATATTATCATTCCAACATGTGATCAATATGAAAATTATTAGAGACAGTTTACAACGTTTTTGATTGCTGTGTACTGACTGAAACTTGTTGCATTTCTTACGTCCACAAGACATGTCAGCTTGGATTAAAATGTTCAAGTGCTCAACAGGTCCAGGGGATGGAGTGGAAATTCAGGGAACCATAAAGACAATTAAAAGACCTTTGCTCCTGATTTTATGTGTATAAGCTAGAGTAAACATTAAAATGAAAGAAGTCAGTTCAAAAGAAAATTGACGTTGTGCTGTTCAACCTAAGTCTGTTCTGGTGGCTCACGTATTTTATTTTTTATAAATTTTATAATTACTGTAGAAAAGATTGCTGAAGATCTTTCTAGAAAAATGTCTGCAGTAGAGAAATCAGAGTGGGTCATGCTTCTCACAACCCTGAGAACTGAATCAGAATCCACATTATTTCAGGCTTTTTCAGAGTGTAAAAACATTTCCAGAGACAAAATCTGACTAATAAAGAGGGATTTAAAGCTGTGGGGTAGTATTCTCGAAGAGATAAGTCTCAAATCAACTGAATGCTGCCTGTCTTTAATGAGAGGTAGCCCTCACTATCAATAGTACATGCATGTGATTGTAAACACAAATGTTATATGCATTAAAGTGAGGATTTCCATGAAAATATGTACTTATTAAATTAAAAATTTAATAAAAAATATGAATCTCTAATCGCTATTTTGTGATCATTGAATTAGAACCATTTAGGAGGCATGAGAATTTTTATTACCAAAATATTAATGCAAATATTCGAAAATTTCAGAAACAGAGATTCTTCCAAGAGCTTTATTTGGGATCATCTATTGGAACAATGCCCTTCAAATCCTAAGGAAATGTTGGTTCAGGGACCCAGAGCAAGACTCCTTTTATCTTACCCTCTCCTATGGAAAATACACCAAAGTTGCTAGGATATTTTGATCATTGGTGCTCAGTGCTCTAGTCCTGGTCTAGGCCAAGCTCAGGTAGAAATAAGGTCAGTGTGAAGTGGATGATGTTTATACTTAATTTGCATGCCATTATCATTCATTCTCTGACAACAATTTGTTGTTTGATGAAACCTTCAAAAATCGGGGTAAATCTTAATCTTACAGAGCTGTCATTCTAACACCTTTGGACCTTTTATAATTTTTAAAAAGTAGAGCATTTTCCATACCTAGAAAAAATGATCATGTCTACAGACAATCTAAAAAATATAGACCATTTCACTGATAGACTTCCTGCATTGCCTTTTCTGAAGCTGGTTTGAAGTCTAGGTATAGAAGTCCTGTTTGTAGGAGTCTCTGACTGTAATGTTTGTGCTGGGTCTATGTGGTGGCCCGAGAACCATTGATCAGGATGCATTTAAATTGGACTGCTTTCCCAATTATGAATTGTAATTACACAGGATGTAAGCACATGTTTAAGTGGTTGTAAAACTGCTCCAAATTCTTGTCACACTATTAATTGAATCAACTGAATATTTAGCTAAGGTCTTCATAATTACGCATCAACTGGCTGAAAGATTCTTGCAAATGCTGTTATACTATATCGGGAGCCCTCCTCTCCCCTTCTTTTGAAAGGGAGGGAAAAAGAGAGGGAAAAAGTGATGAGATGACACTAATCTCTTTGCCTCTAGGTGTTTATCACACCACGAAAGCCAAAACAATTACTCAGGGCTTCATGGGGTAGTCAAGACTGGTAAACAGCAAAATGCTATTTCCTTGGAAGGTGTTTTCTTGTCGTGTTTCACAAAGGCAGAGGGAAAACCATTCTCCAACAGGAGCAGCCCTCCTTCTGAGCACAAATACAAATGAACAAAAATGACATTATATTCTTGCTGGCCTGGGGCAAAAGAATCACCTATTTTTAACAGGACTTCAGGTGTGTGATTTTCTGCCATTTTCTTTCTTTTATTATATTAGAATGACTGACCCCCCCCAAAAAAAACCAGGCAGTACTGTCAGGGAGGCTTCAGGATACAACTGTGGTACATTGTATCTTTAAAGTAACCTGACACATTGTCCCCTTGCAGGAATTTCAGTCTTTTCAGAAGATGTAAGAGGGGTAACAATTATTTTTTCTCTTTCCAGTCGTTTTTTTTTTTTTTCTGTTGTAGAATTCCTAGTTCACTAATTAAATAATAGTTAAATGTGTCACCTATGAAAAAACTGGGAGTGAGTTAAGAAAATGGGGATTATTTTTACTTGCAATCCTCTGCAGTTTGCTTCAGCCAGTCTAGCTCAATCTTTAGTGCTAACATAATTAGGTTTTGCAGAATAATGACCCATTTTACCAGCTATCATTTCAGGTTAATAAAAACATCACATAATTTTAAATGTTACTACTCCAATTTTAATTCATCCTTCAATTAAAAGTAGCTTTGGGGTGATGGGAAAAGGCAGAGGGGTATCCCAGCATGTATTAAATGCTCAACTGCTTAAAAATGACCCCTAAAATGAAGTCTTCTAGGTAGTTATTTCAGCACCTACTCTAAAAAAAGTACTAGGGGGCACAATTTTCCTGCTGTAATAGATCTCAAATCACTGCATTTTATTCAATTATTAATGTGTTTTTCACAGATGTTATTTTCTCAATTCTACTTAAATGCAATAATATGATTTATGCTGGGGATATGTCTGTTACTTAGCTATTTTATCTTCAGATGCATAATGAAGATGATAATATGTGAGTCACACCCTACCAGGTGTTGAGAAGAGTAAAAGTTCTCTGTGTTCCCGAGACTACTGGTGAAAATTCAAAACAGGAGGGTTGGCATCCTTGGTTCTTTCTGACTTCATATTATGTTTATGTGCAGTTTATGTGGGGAATTTGTTGGCATCTGTTTTAGGTAACTAAAGGAAAAAGGTACTTTTAGTGTATGAAAGTAAAAAAATATATAGTTAGTTAAAATAAAAATTCATTCTCTATGGAAATGGTCAGAACTTTCAGAATGTATCACACATTTGACATTTATTAGAAATAAAATTGATTAGAATATTGTGCTAATTTCCAGAAGCAAAGAGAGTTGTTCATGGCCAGACACTTGAGTCAAACCCTGGGGGTCACTTCTTATCTCTGTTTTTTCATTCCCATATATTATAGAAAGCCATCCAAAAGTCCTTATTTTCCCTTGGTCATTCATATTGTTCCAGGTTGTGTCTTAGTCACTACCACATCCTTATCACTAAAGGCTGAGAGTAAAGTGGTAGGGAAGGAATTCAAATTCAGACCCCTGAAGCTGAAGCTTGAAATCATTCCAGATCATGATGAGTTCCATACAACAAATAGACAACACTGAGCTCACAGCTCCCCATTCAATCCTGTGAGTAGAAAAACTATTCAATAGGTATTTTATTTATTAATTAAGAACATACCATTTTCCATATAGGTTAGAGCATCCTGCTTTAGAATACTTGGTCTTTCTATCCTAATATTACTGGATTATTGATGGCAGAGCGTGAAGGAGATGGAACAAAAGGTTTGATTTCAGAATTTATTCATGGTTGTTCCCAATAGCCCTTAAATTCCAGTAAGGCCACAGGTCCAAGAAAGGGTCTGGCGCAACACAGTGAGAGGGACTGTTGATCTGTGGATTCCATGCCTTTTCCCAACCTGCACCTGTCTTTATGCTCCCTGGGCAAGTGACTGCCTCTAAATGTTTGCAGGATCCACACATGTGTCTAAATATTTGAAAGTTATACATCAAGTTAACCAAGTTTTAGTAAGATAGGTTGCACCTTGCTGCTTTGACATGTATGTTTTCACAATAGTTGGAAGCCCAGGTGTAGATTTAGAAACCTTGGCTTGCTCACGATCTTTACTGGACCCTGGCTCTAAGGTCAACTTACCCATCTTTCTTCTATCTCTCATTACTGTCTTTTCCAGTCCTGATATTTAGGACTCTTTGCAAGTCATTCCCCAGTAAGCTGTCCTGATCCCAGTTGGCAATCCCCACTTTGCCACACCTTTTATGCAAGGAATACAGTCATGGTGCTGCTTGTCTTCCGGAGTTTGGAGCCCCAGCGGAAGCACACGCTCGCCCCAAAAGTGGGTAGGGATGTCTTGGTAGATTAGGTGACTGGGACAAAGCTGGAGAAGGGTGAATGTGGCCCTTCTAAGCAAGGGCTCCTCTTTGCTGACACTAAAATTCACCTTCAGGCTGTGTAAAAGTAAAAAATGGACCATTCTCACATAATGATAGGGCAGATTAATTATCTTCCTATAACAGCAACACTTTCTGCATGGCTGAAATTTTGTCTCAAATTTTATATTCATTGATAGTTTTGAGGAAATCATATTTTCACTCTGTGGAAAGTTGACAGATTTACTCACTGCAAAACCATATTAGCCCATCTTCAGGGATCTGTATTCAAGTAGAAACAGAGCAAGAACGAGGACCCCAAATGCAAGGACAACTTAGTACATGCTTTTCAATCCAATCTTGTTTTTAGGACATAATATTGTCGATGAATACAGTATTTGCAAGGGTGCTAGAATGCAGCAGACAAGTAAAACCCATTTGAGTTGGGGTTTCTTTGAAGGAACCAGTCTTTAAAAAAAAAAAAAAAACTTGAGAATCCCGATTAAAGAGAACATTTCATTTTCATTTGTTATATACCTAAAAGTGAATTTTTATTTAAAGCTGATCACATCACTTCAGGATATTCAGAAAACGATATCTAAATACACCGAATGCAAGATATTTCTCATCAATTTAGATTCCTATAGCCTCATAAAGATGAAATGCAGATGAGCTGATTTAGATCAGACCTTCATTAAATTTGAGAATTAGCTTTTAGAATCCAATGTATTGAATTGTGCAGTGTCTGATTCCTGAGCATTGTGACGAAGCCATGAGTGAATCTATAAAGTGCGTCGTTGCCAGAAATAACACAGTCTGCCTTTGGTTTGTGCTAATAAACTATAAGACAACTTAAATTCCATTTTAATATTAGAAATCCACCTCATTATAAGTAATCTCAAACTCTGTATGCTATCAGAATGCTCATGTATTCTTTGGTGAGCCTGAAATATAATTTTCTATTTATGCTTCTAATGTAAATCTCCAATTTCTGATTGGCCACTCTGGTACTAAGCCAGAGCTCTAATTTATTTCCATCTTTTCTTATTTCTGATATAAAAAAAGACTGCTGGCTTGAATAACAAACATTCAATCGACTTAGACACGGGGTGGCAGGCAGTACAGGCATTACCTGTTTACCTTTTATTGCCTTCTTTGAATTGGTTTTTCTGGGGAAAAAAACCCAATAAGACATGCTGTTCCTTCATCTACTTTTGACTCGGGTTATTTATCAGAAGACATCCCCCACTCTCTTTTCAGCAAGGAATGGCAGCAGGGTGAAGAATTTGAACTGGAACTAGGCTTCCAAACTAATATGATCATAGGTTATTGCTCTACCAAGTCATGTAGGACTTCATCGTCCTTCAGACTGTGGCTTGGGCTGACAATTGTTTTTGTTTCCAGGAGACACTGCTGCCAACACATTTGTAACCTGTAGGACTACATAGTGCTGGGAAGGGGATACACACTGTTGTAGCCTCTTTGGAAACTTTGCAACGGTTTTCCCCCTCCCACCTTCCCTTGCTGCCTTGCACAGTAATTGGCCTAATAAAAGGCAGAAACAAGAATTTATTACACCTTGGGCGGTACTTAAAACAAACTTTATTCCAGGAACAGCAGTTATGTCTCCTTGCTGCTGTATATTTTGATATATCATTTAAATACTTAGTCTGAATATATTCAAAGTCAAATTGGTAATCACTCAATTTCCCTGTGAATGTCCTGGTTCCCCAAATGGCCTCTTCTGATACTCCATGTAAACACTGTATTTGTAAAGACACATAGATCAGCATCCCTGGAGTCACATGCTCACCATCAATCTGTGAAAATAGCATGACTTAAAAATAAAAGTCACTTAGTACTTTGCCAACAGACTTTAGCATAATCTTGGCAGTCACTTAGAATTTCTTTCTCTTTTTGCTGTTATAATTTTTCCCAAGTGGAAATAGTCTCATATTTTGCTGAAGTTCTCCAAGCTACTGAACATCAATCCATCTTCCTGGGTACTAAATTCGTCAGCTGAATATGTTCAGTCCACACAGAAATCAGTAAAGTGAATATGAAACTGTTTGGTGACTGTTCCTTTCATCTTAAGAAATTGCAATACAAATTCCTGAAATCGTTTATGCAGGAATTTTTATTCTTTAAATCTTCCAGTGTTAAAGCAACAAGAAAACATTTAGAATGTCCTTTGGTGGAATCTTATTACACTTGTTATATATGTAAACTGATATTCTTTGATGTCAGCACGTTCGTTGCCCTTACAGAGAAATCTCTGCACAATGAAACAAAACAGAATGAAAGAGGACAAAATAAAATGTCAGTCTTTGCTGATTTAAATTAGATACATTAACAGATTGTCTGGTAAACACAAATTGGCAATAATACAAAAAATCTACATATTACAGTATTTCAAGAAAAATAACTTCATTTGAATACAAAAGGATAGATACACTTTCTTTTTTTCCTATAGCCACTCTTGGATCGTGGGTGTGAGCTTGCACTGGGTGACTCAGTGCTAAGATATACAGGGGATGACTGGCTTGCACTTTGGAGGGGCTGTTACACATGTGCATTACTAACAAAAGACAAAGAAATCCTTCAACCAACAAGGGTTACAGAGCAACGTTCACTCAAGCACAGGTTGGAAGGGATTCAGGGACTGAACAGCTTGTAACAGACTTCCTTATACCCACAATGCACCTGACAGCAAAGATGCTTCTATTTGGTTGGTCCACACACTGGGCAGAGCGGTACTAAGGTGCACCACGTTAGAGTAGCAAATGTTTTTAGGTTGGTTGATTTGCTTGGGTTTTTTTTTTTGTCTTTCCTGTTGGGGGTAGGGTGGCTGCCACGGCCTTCCCAATCCACAATGAGCTCTGCAGCTTCGCAATGTCATTTGCAGAGATAATACCAACAGCTGCCAACTCTTCTGGAGTCAGAAAGGAACAGTCTTGACTCCGATGTGCTATCTGCATCTCATAGATATGGCTTAGTTCAGTTAGGCCTTCTTAGTTTGTACACTGTGTGTTGAGTGTGTATGTGCGTGTGTTTTCTATGTTAGTAGCAAATGCTTGGGTTGTGTTTGCTTCCCCATGGCACAGGCCTGTCCGATGGCTGGATGCAAAGCCTAAAACCCCAGGGGGCTGGCTGTCCCCAGGAGCACGGTTAGCAGCAGCAGCACTGCTGAGCCCTGTGGTGGAGGACCCTGGCCTGAGTCGGAGCCACAGCTGCCGGCCTCTTCACACCTCAGCTTCTCACAGAGGATGCCTGTGTAGGCAGCCGGGCACAGGCAACGCACATTGTTGTGACATGTCCCTCCATTCTGGCAGTGCAGGAGCTCATTGTCGCAGACGTTGGCTGTAGAATGAGGGGAAGGGGTGGGGGCAGGAAGGAGAAGCAGAATCAATTTAAGTTCATCGGGTACAGCATGTTTTCAGATTTAAAAAAATCTCTATCGATCTTGTGTGTGTCCCCACCCCCCTTCCACTAACTAAGTATGTGACACCAATTTCCAAACAAATGTAGTTTTGCTGCCTTTGTTTTTATCAGATTAGTTCTTTTCATATAGGGTTTTACTGCAATCTTGGATATGAATGTGTTCAGTTCAGGCTATCCATACAAAGCAATGCAATACTCCTTATCTTCTTCTCATGGAACTGGGGCCTATTGTGACCTGGGGTTTTAAAGGTCAAGGGCACAGAGGTTTGAAGCCAGAGGTATTTCAAATGCAAAGCAGCATTGCTAAAGTGACCAAACACCTCTAAGGGAAGGTCATTCTCCTTGAACTTGTTCCCAGAGCTATGAACATGCAGACAGCAGCAACAGGGAAACACAGGGATGAGGGTTTGGGAAGGAAGAAGTAGCACGTTGCAGGCAGGCAGCAGCCGGGTGGGAAGAGGGAAAGCATGTCTCATGGGAGGAGTGTGAGGAAGAGCAGTCACATTTGTCCCTGAAGTCTATTAGGATTTTTATCACCTTGTAAATACAGAAAGTAGAACCCACGGTTACCTTGATTTCTGAGAATAGTAATGAATGCAATGGTGAAAGCCTGATTACCAAAATTTCATTACATCCATCAATTAATAGAGTCAGCCTGAAGGAATCAAAACAAGCAATTCGAGACTGAAATTCATCCACAGCCTCTATCATGTAAGTTTCACCTCTAATAATGTCTTATATCTTCAAAATTCTGGTTATCCTCATTAATTGTGTGTCTCTTATTCGTTTAGATAATCAAGGTTTCACTGATTTGGCAGAATGTTAAAATAGGACCCAGGGAAATTAACAGAACAACAAAGAGTAAAAGAGCCAAGAATACTTCCCAGCAACATATGCTGCTTAAGCACTTAACATATAGACCACTTTGGACTGGGGGAGGGAGGCAGAGCAGAGCAGAAAAAGTAGCTTTTTAGAAATGATAATTGCTTTTTTTTATTTAAAGAAAAATGTCATGGTCAAATTTCCCCAGTGATGCCACATGAATTAAACACACACACACACACACACACACACACACACTCTCTCTCTCTCTCTCTCTCTCTCTCTCACACACACTCACACTCAAACACATACTTAATTTGAAATATTAAGTATGAACTATTTTTAAAAATAACCATCCTCCAGGTAATAATTCCACAGAGAATGTTACCTTGTCCATTAGTCATGCTCAATAGTCATGTACCTTCACGGACAGCATTTCACATACAACATGCTAATGTTTTGAGTAGAAATGAGCTGAGGAAAGATGGTGGCAGGAATTATTTGGTTATTTATCAACTGCCTGAAACAGGGCCCTGTGTAACTACCCTCCTCAACATTCCTTTGGTGACTTCTGGGACAACTACAAAGTATATGGGAATAAGTTTTCAAATGTATCTACACTGTAACTGTAAATATCAGAAGTAACTGTTAAGGTATTAAATCCTTCAAGCTCAAAATACTGTTACAGGATGCAGTGTTCCAGGGCTCTCATCAGATGACTTAGAAATAATAAATAATGGACCAAAGTTATGGTATTTTATAAGTAATTGCTAAAAATGCCAAGATCAGTAGATGTCAGATAAGTTCCCAAATATAGGGTGGTTAGCACCATGGACAAAACTTACAAAAGTCCCATGCTTCTGGTTGTTGTTAATTTAGGAAGCATAATAGGTTTTCAGGATTTTGTTTTGCTTACACTTCAAGAAATATCTGTTTAATTGGGGCAACATGGAATAAAGAGATCCAAAGAACTGTTGCCATTTAAAGTTAAAGATTCTCAGCATTTCTTGTTGTAGGCAGCAGATTACTGAATGGGACTTTTCCTTTCATTTGGGCACCAGAGGTAAGAAATATCTGTTCCATCAATATTGATAATTGCTTGCCTTGAATAATTGAGAAGAAATCAATAGTTAATTAAATATCACTCCCCTTTTAAAAAAAGCTATTTTTCTTCTTCTTGGACCTGACCGTAAATCAGTCGTTGAACAGAGGTTTTTTTCCCGAGGAACTAGTGATTAAGTTAAAATTCAATACCTTTCCTACATTTAAATAATCTGCTAGTTGGTTTTGATGATTGTGAGAAATTTAATAAGTATACAAGGAACAGATGTAGCTCAGGATTAATTATCTTATGGATTGAGGGACTATATTTTCTGTAAGACACAAATAGAAGAAAAACCTAGACTATGTTTCATTACTTTAGAATTCACTATAAAACACATGATATTTGGTCCCTTATTTGTGCTGTCCTATTAAAGTTCAACAAATGCAGAACTTTACCAGGTGCATAGTACTCTCTAACCGTTGGGATCACGTGGTAGAAGCACATTTAAATATAACCATGGGTCTTACCTGAAATTCACAACCTCACCCTTCATCTTCATGTCATTTTGTATCAAAATTGAGTTGGCTAATGAACAAACTAGTTAAATATCATTGAGATCTTCTTCAGCATATAAAACCTTGTACTAAATACCATGGAGAAAATAAAAGAAATATCATGCATGATCTCTCCTCTTATGGGTTCAAATGTGGTTGAGAGGATAAAAATATACCCAAGAAATGATTTATTATTTTTTTCATTAAAACGTACTTATCTGTTCCTTCCTGCTCAACCAACATCTATTTCATACCAGGTATCCTGCTAGATTTTGTGGCTGTAGCTCTAACTTCCCTAAAGGAGCTCACAGCTTTGTAAAAAATAAACCAATAAACATATACAGAGATATGATATGATATAAAATGACTACAATGGAAGTATTTGCAAACTGAGAGGGGAACACAAATGATGGGGTGAATAATTGCTTTGTGAAAGACTAGGGAAGATTATAGGGATGAGGTTGTATTGGAACAAAGGGGTGTATCAGGCAGACAATGGAAGGAGGACCACTATGGGTGAGGAAACTATGAGCAAAAGCAATCAGAGGTAAGAGCAGAGTGTTGATAATTAAGGAAGTGTCTCTGAACTCTAAATCTACCCTTCTGATGTTGAAACCAGAACCCTGTGGGTTGTCTGCTATATTTGGTCAATGAGGGGCACTAGAAGGAACAGAGATGGAAGGAGGAATGAAGACATTTTCTTGTTCTTGTTTGATGGCTCTCCCTAACAATACTGCCCCTTTGGTGGTCCTCCATGGGAGTAATGATATTTGATTTCAGTGCTAAGCAATGGTTCCAGTGCTCAGCTTTACTCAAAATCAGTGTCTACTCTCCCCTGGATGTTCTTGCATAGCTGGACAGCTTCCCTTTCCCAGGCTTGAGCCCAGTTCAGGGAGCTGTTACCTGTGGTAGCCAGGAGAGTCCCTCCTCAGAGGTGCAGGTTTCAGATCTATGAGGTCTCTCATCCTAATTTTCAGCTTCTGAAAACCCTATCCTCTATCATGTAATCCCTTCACCCCAGAATGAGAGCTGCTACCTGTGGAAGTAGTTACTGTCTAAGAGTTACCTCAGTGTCCTATTCTCATTTTGAAACTTGCAGACACCTGTTCTCCCATTTCCTTTAATATTTTTCTCTGTTGAAATATCTAGCATAGTTTCAGTTTTCTCACCTAAACCTGACTGAGGGACACATGGTCCATGTTAATGAATGACGAGTGGACTGTGGCTGGATTGCTTGGTGTGAACAGGGAAAATGGAAGCTGAATGCTATGTTGCATCCTAGTTGTGTGTAATACACTGAAGAGTTTAGGTAACAGGCAATGACAAGCTGCCAAAGATGAATAAGTAGAGTACAATGAGGCTAGGTCAGAAAAAGGACAGTCTAGAGGCGAAGAAACCAGACACTTCAACAAAATAGGCTGGGGTTAGGCTAGAGCACAGAGAGAGGGAGGAGGGAACAGATTTGGTGGCAGCCTATGTAAACAGGTAAGAAAGATTCTAAGGTTTCTGTTTGGGCATGTGAATATGTTATAAAGATTGAGAAAAGGAGATGGGGAACGAATCTGGAGAGAAAAAAATGAACTTTTTTGACCTATTGACTTTGAAGGGTCTGCAATTTCTTCTATAGATGTTTTCTTATTGGTTGGAAAGACTACGTAATGGTCTTGGAGAGAGTTCATCCTGCAAATACAGATTTGAAGCAGGGTGGTAATGGTCATTGTTACAAATATGAAGCAAAAGATCTACATCTCACTGGGACAATGTCGACCAAATAAAAATAGTGACTTCGGATAGAACACTGAAGAATACCAACATTGAAGCCACAGACACAGAAAGCAAGACGATAAAGGATGCTGAGAAGAAAAGATGTCAACAAAATGCAGTGATCACAGGAGGTTATGAATTTCATCGTGGACGTGTTCCTGCTGTGGATGGCTATCTAGGAATTAATAATCAGACTGGAAACGTGTGAGAGGAAGGGCACTTTGAGTTGGGCAAAGAAAATATACAAAGAAAGTATTACATGTTCTTGGTTGAATCTGACAAAAACAATTTTGGAATAATCAGAAAAGGCCCTGGAGATTTTTGAGGGGCTAATATTTAATGGAAGTATTTGGATGTCACTTTAAAGGAATGGTTCTCAAGATTTGGTTTGCCTCCCAAGGGGATTAGGCAAGGTTTGGAGATGTTTTTTGTTGTCACAACTGGGTAGCAATGGTGTGCTACTGACCCCTAGTGGGTGGAGGCCAGTGATGCTGCTGAACGTTCTGCAATGTATAGGACAGGCCCCCTTTTCTCCTCCCCCCCAAAAATTACTCCTCAATTAATATTAGTAGTAAAATGTTGGAGTCTTGGGTCAGGTTGTAGTCATAGCAGCAGAGATGAGCAGCTATCCCTGGTGTATTTTGGGAAAAACAGCTGAAAGTCTTGGCAGTTCTAGATCAAAGTGACAATGAATTTCCAGGTGCAGAGCCATTAGAGTTAGAGGTGACTTGGAG